CTTTTTGGCTCATATATGATGAAGGATGAGATAAGAGTAGATCTAAGTAACATTTAAGTGGTTCGGAATTAGAGACAACCTAAAAATGTGTTAGAAGTTGTAAGCATTTTAGGAATGGATGGATACTATTGGAGGTATTTGAAGGACTTTTTGAAGTTAGCTACTCCATTAATGAAGATAAGTAAGAAAGAAGCCAAATTGGATTGAGGAGATAAATGTGAGTTGAGTTTCTTAGAATTGAAGCAAAAGTTGACTACTACATCCTTGTTGCTCTCCCAACTAATAAATGGCAACTTCATGGTGTACATAGATGTTTTCAAGATAGGATTGGGGGTAGTATTAATGTAAAATGGAAAGATTGTAACTTATGCCTCAAGATAGTTAAAAGATTATGAGAGGAATTAGCTCATGTATGATTTGGAGTTAGTAGTAATGATATTTGCACTTAAAATTTAGAGACACTCGTTTATATAAAGTGAGATATAAGATTTATACTAACCTTAGAAGTTTGAAATACTTATTATCTAAAAGATACTTAAACATAAGGTAATTGAGATGGTTAGAGGTGTTGAAAGATTATGGTTTTATATTACATTATTGTCCAAAAAAAAGGCAAATATAGTAGTAGATGCCTTAAGTAAAAAAACATAGGCGACGAATGGAAGTAGTGCGGACGATATTTTGAAGGACTTAGAGACGTTTAATCCGAAGGTTGTGTCAAAGAAAGGTGAGTGTAAGCTATTGGCTTTGGTAATAGAGTCATATTTGAGGCTTAAAATTGGGAGTAGACATTGAACTAATGATGAATAGAGTAGGGTGAGGAAAGAAATAGACGAAGGAAAAGATTAGATTTTTTAGTTGATGGTGATAGGGCTATAAGGTGTCAAGGTAGGTTATGTGTATCGAAGGATAAAGATAAAAAACAAGAAATTTTGATTGAAGCAATTTTACACCTTATTTAGTGAATCTAGTAGTAATAAGATGTATCATGATTTGAAACTAGTGTATTGATAGAGAAAAATGAAAAAAAAAATAGGAGATCATGTAGCTAGATGCTTGATCTATTAGTAGGTAAAGACCAAGCATGAAAACCCATTAGGTTTGCTATGAATTTTAGCAATACTTGAATAAAAGTAGGAGCACATAACTATTAATTGAATTATCGAGGTTAGAAAGAGGGTCTAATGCTATCTAGGTCATTGTAGATACGTTGACAAAGTTAGCTCATTTTCAACTAGTAAAAATGACTTTTAGAATGACGTAGTATATAGGGTTGTATAAGAGTTTGCATAAGATCATTGGTACAAGGTTAAATTTTAGTACTACTTTTCACTGCGAAGTGATGGACAATCAAAAAGGATGACATAGGTGTTAGAAGACATATTGATGGCTTGTGTATTTGACTAGTCGGTTATAAACAAAAATATTTGTCATTGATGGAATTTGCCTATAATAATAGTTACTAGACAAGTATAAGGATTGCATCTTATAAGGCACTATATGGTAGGATGTGTAGATCATCAATTCATTGGGATAATATGAAAGTATTAGACTAGAGATAGTTCAATAAATGACTAAGTTGATAGAAAAGATAAGGCTAAGAATGAGAACAACTCGGACTAGGCAAAAGAGCTATCGCCGATTAAACAAGAAATGATTTAGAGTTTGAAGTTTGTGATAATGTGTTTCGAAGGTAGCACCGATAGAAAGTGTAATGAGGTTTGAGAAAAAGGGAAAGATGAGTCCCGGGTACATTAGGTCTTGTGAGATTCTTGATAAGGTGGGTGACTAAGCATATAGATTGGCTCTTTATCTATCTCTATCATGATTCCATAACATTTTCTTTATATTGATGCTAAAAAAGTATGTGAATGACCTGAATTATGTATCGATATTAAAACTAATAGAGTTAACTTTAGATTTGACTTATGAAGAAAGACTCGATTAAAATTTTAGATCGAGAAATTAAGAAGCTAAGTTAAAAAAGAGATTACTTTATTGAAGGTGTTATTGAGGAATTATGGTGTGGAAGAAGCTAAATGAGAAAGAGAAGAAGAGATGAGAACTAACTATCCGGAACTTTTTGGTAAGTAAATTTTAAGGATGAAATTTTTATAAGGAGTGAAGGAATGTAACACCCGAAACTTTTTTCTTGATATTATGCATGTGTATGCTAATAGTCGTGTCTTAATTTAGTTCTTGTTTTATATATGTGATTGATATTTTTTACTGTTTTTATTATATGAGGTGTTTTATATAAAATATGTTTAAGATTAAGGAAAAAGTAGTTTAGGAATAGCAATTTATTAATGATAAAAACGAATTATAAGGGGGACATACCAGTTTTGCCCCAGAAATAGGAGAACCGGGTAAACCTTACCCAAAAGCTAATCTCAATACATATAAATACCTAAATAATCTTGCCTATAAGCTATATGAGTATCCTTTGGAAGTTCCATAACCTGATGAAAAGAATACTAACCTAAATGCATGTAAGCATAATTAGCCAATGTATATACTGTACAATTTTATTGGTGGAATGCATGATTAATAGAGGGTCACCAGGGAATTAGTTTCTACAACCATTGCTGTTAGATTTAGATCCTGTCATAATTTGAGTCCATCTAAAAGAGCTTTAATTTCTCCACACAAATTCTTTCGTCTGCCATAAGAGTGTGAAAAACAAGCAACTAAACATCCCTGACTATTCTGAATAATGCCACCACCAGTGTAGCATCCATTTCTCGAAAAACATCTGTATTTAGTTTATAACAGCCTGTATTTGGTGGGTGACATTTTAGCCAACGCCCTTTTGTAACTTTTACAAGAATCAAAGGAACCTGAATTTGTTGTAACTTATATTCTCCTAGTAAATTACATTCCTTTTTCGATGCACTCCACACAAATCCACAAGATGGCTCCTAACTCTCTTTTTAACAGTATCTATACACATTGAAATCTCATCATATTTTGCCTGACATCTATTTTTCTAGATTTCCCAACGTATAAAGAAACATGTTGCAGTCTGGCACATACTAACCTGAGTTATCGGTACTACACAACCAAGAATTAAAGAGGTCAGAAATATTATGATACGTAGATTGTGTATGGAAAATTTAGCCATATTACTCCCACAGTTGCCTTGCCATCCTTGAATGTAGAGAAAAATGAGAAAAAGTTTCCTCTGTATGGATTTGACAACAAAGACACATTCAGGCCATAGGAATGTTCAATTTTTTGATCTTACTACCAATAAGTAAGGCCTCATATATCCATTTCCACATGAAGCTACTTGTTTTGCTAGGTATATAAGGAGACCACACCTTAGAGCACCACGTAACTGTTAGGTGGTGATGTCTGCGAGCTTCCCACAAGCCTTTAGTAACAAATTCACCTATCTTAGATAAAGTAAAAACCAATTTGTCTTCTACAGCATCATCTAGCTGTGTACTTTGGACTTATCCTTGTAGTTGAACAGGGATGTAGTCCATAAAATCTTCTGTCTTAAACGGCCTCCTTCACTATAAGGTTATTATCTAGTGGTAATGGAGCTGGCAAGATCGATCCACACCAGTTTGTCTTCCAACAAGAGATGGCACCATCACTAATCACCCATCTGCTATTATCCAGGAGATAATCAAAGAGTTTTGACACCGAGCACAATATTTAGAGAACATATTCTTTTTTTGGGAAGTTGTATTCACCGTTTGTGAACTTTGCCTATAGACTTTTACCTTATAGATGTAACCAAGCTAGTTTAGCTTGCAAGGCTTCCAACACCAATTACAGACTACGAATGCCCAATCCTCCCTCTCTCAAAGGGCGACAAATAATCTCACATGCTATCTAATGATGCTGAGGTTCACCAGCTGAGCTCCAAAAGAAAGTCTGCCATCAATCTCTCTCGTTTCTTTAAAACTGAAGCCAAAAATTAGACAACTACTAAAGTATGAATGGAAATGTTGTTCAAGAGTAATTTCATAAGAGTAATTTTTTTTCCCAAAGATAGATGCTTGGACGTCCATCCATTGATCCTTTTGGCCATTCTTTTTTCAAACTCTTGAAAATATTTCTTTTGTATTCTTCCTGCAGCAATGGGGACACCAAGATATTTGTTCGAAAAAAAAAAAAAAAAAACTACGTATAGCCACTCTAGCTGCGAATCTGTTCCAGTTGTGAAGGAGGAAGCCATTTGGGTGCATAGAAACCACCCTTGGATGAGTTCATTAGTTGACCAGAAGCACCCTCATACTTGGCAGTTACCTCTCTCAGATGTAGGAGAGAATGATTCTCTCCATTGGCAAATACTAGAATACCATATGCATAAAATAAATGTGATATAGGATTATAAATGCCTCTTACCTGGAATGCTTTAATGAAGCCATCTTTGTGTGCTCTCTGTAGAGTATGGGATAACATATACTGCACCAAAACAGAGAGTAATGGAGAGAGGGGATCTCCTTGATGAACTCCATCATTTGACTTGAAGAAACTGAAGTTATTTCCTTGTAGCCAAACTGTATACCAAATGTTGCTAATGGACCGATACACCAAATCACACCATGTTCCTTTAAAACCAAACTCCCTCATCTTATGCAGTAAAAAACACCATTTTATTCTGTCGTAAGCCTTCAGCATGTCTATTTTGAAGATTAAATTACCACCTCTAACCTTTCTATTTACAGTATGTACCATCTCTTGTGCCAAAGCTATATTCTCTGTTATACTGCTGCTTTTTACAAAGCTCAATTATTCATCAGCCACAATGTCTGGAAGCATTGTACTCAACCAATTTGCCAACTCTTTAGATAAAATCTACATAGAAAATTTGACAAACTAATTGGTCTCATGTCATTCAATGAGGTAGGGTTGGTTACTTTGGGTAATAAGATCAAAATTGTAGCCGATAAACCTCTAGAAATTATGTCTCCTCTGAAATATTCCTTAACCGCTTGAGCTACATCTATTTTGATAATATCCCAAGACCAAGTAAAAAAGTATCATGTAAAGCCATCTCCTTCCGAGGCGCTATCTGGGTTCAACTCATTAATAGCTTGGTAAATTTTCGAAGCTGAAGGGTTACCACTAAGAAAGTCATTCTGTTCATCTATAATTATTTTCTCAATTCCTACAAAAATACTGTCATGGATATTCACACTACCTGAAGAAAACATATTTTGATAGTATATTTCAGCTTCACGCCCAATGTAGGATATGTCCTCTATCAATCTGCTATCATCCTTCCTAAATTTGAAATGTGCATGTTTAACATTATCTTTAATGCAAGCATGAAAAAATAAGTAGTGTTTCTATCCCTATCCTTCACCCACAATGCTCGCGCTTTTTGTTCAAGCATTTCAGTCTCCCACCCAATTAACTAGTTCAATCAGTCTTTAGCTTTATACAATTTTACCATCATATCAGTACTCTAATTCGATACAAGGTCATCCTCCAATCGAAGTAGATCATCCTGGATTGCCTCTCTATCCCATGAAACATGCCCAAACACACGCCAATTCTAGGCTTTAAGTAATTTCTTAGTATGTTGTAATTTCTTCTGAAGGATAACAATAGGTGGCCCATCAACATGGACATTCCATGCCTATTTCATAAAGTTTTGTATGATCCAGCCACATTCTTTAAAACCGAAATAGAGTGTGCCTTTGGTGTATCTTCTAGAACTAGAGCAGTAATAGAGAGTAGTCTGAACTGATTAGTACCAGATGTTCAACTTTTAAGGTAGGCAAATTAGCTTTAAAACATCCATCCACTAGTACTCTATCTAATCTTTACCAAATTCATCTTCCACCCACCTGATTATTGCACCAAGTAAATCTGCTTCCTATGCAACCGGCATCATCCAATCCACACTGTCTATAAGATTCACGGAATTCTTCCATTCCTTGCAAATCATAACCTATGCCTCCTACCTTTTCTGTAGTGCTAGCAATCACATTAAAGTCACCTCCAACGAGTCAAGGATACTGGAACTGACTTGTCATATATTGCAGCGCCTGTCATGGTTCTTACCTTTCCCCCTCGTGCATTTAGCATAAACAAATTAGGTAATTAGAGTTAGTTAAATTTGATTAAATTTATTAAGTGAAATGGATCAAAGAAATGGAATTTTTTTAGTCTTAAATGAAAGAATAAAAATGGGGATAAAGTGGTTTTGAGGTGAAATAATGTAGTGAATTAATATATATTAAAAAAAAAAAAGGTGGCAGTTGGTTTTAGAAAATGGGACAATGTTATTTGTCCCAATTTTCCTCATTCTCTCATTATGTTCTTCATTTCTCACCCTTAAAATTCCCTTTACTTCCTCCAATTTCTTCCTTCATTTTTATGCTAAAATCTTTACTAAATACCCTAGAGATTCATGAAAACAAGATTAAAATGATATTTAGCTAGACTAAAACTTTGAAGGCATATAGGGATTGAAAGATTGAAGTTGGGGTTTGATGTCTCATTTAATGAAGGTGAGATTTTTGCTATTTAGTCTTAAATTTAAGATGCTTAAATTTTTTTTATTGATTATTTAGGAGTTATTTTATATTAGTCTTGTCATTGGTTAAATATTAAGACAAGTTAGGATTAGGGTTAGGGTTTTAGTTGAATTTGAAAATTTAACGATTAATTATACTAATTGATGCATTAATTAGATGTTCAAGGCATAAAATTGATTATTGGACAATGAGTTTGAGAAACCCCCAAGTAGAGTGAGATAACATATTGTAGAGATAAGTTGTGTAAGGAACAAAATGAAAAGAAATTTAGGAAAAATAAAGAATTAGGTGGTATAAATACAATTAAAAATGAATAAAAGGAGAATTAAGTGAATTAAAATAGAATTGATGATTTAATTGAGATTGATAATTAAATTAATGAAATTGATGATGAAATATGAAATTGAATAATAATTTATGATGAATCTCAATTGGATAAGTAAATATAAATAAGTAATGGGCAATTTGAAGGATCATGCATCCTATGAAGGTAGGGAATAAATAAAAATTTTCCTTCATCTAAGGGCCCCAAGATCATGCTATTGGATCTACTAATCATACATACATGAATAATAAGATAAAAGTAAAGGTTTACTTCTTGTAGCGTAGATCTAAATTCCTTTTTGTTGATTAGTCGTCCAAGTGTCGAGCCTCTATTAATGATCCACACAGACCCAAATATCCACAAAGAAGCACTCAAAATTGATGGGGTGCTAGCTCCACCTTTTCGATTAAGTATTTCCTCTAAAAATTAATCCCGAGCAATGCGACAACTTTAAAGGAGAGGGTATGAGAATTTCTTGCTAAAGTCTTAAGGAAAAACTATATTCTTCCCTTTTTGCCTTTTAGATGTATGCCTTTTTTGTTTTTGGAGACTGGCCAAATTTTCCCTTCCTTTTTCTTTTTGGCCAAAATTCTCTATTAGGTTTTTCTCTACTTTTTGCTGCCCCTCTCCTCCTATTTATAGGGGAGAGTTTCTTTGTCCTCCAAAGACAAGGAAAGTGGCAACCTTGAGTCCATAAAGGACTCTAAGTTGTTGCTTTTTTATCCTCCAAGGATAATGAGTTATTTTATATATGGACTACTTGATGTTTATCTTTAAAACATTCATCCTTATCCAATAAAGTTGATGTTTATCTTCCCGCTAAAATTATCTTAAGGCTTTTAATTAAACCTAATTGGGCAAAACTATTTTAGCCCAATTAATTTATTTGGATTATCCAAATAAATATTCTTAGATTATTTTAGCGAGGTCCACATTAGAAAATAATTTTTTAAAATACCTTTTAACCTAAATTAGAAAACTCATTTCCTTTTAGGTTCTTTATTTTCAAATTTGAAACTAACTTTCAAATTACAAAACTAATTTCTAGAATAGAAAACTTTCATTTTAGGAAACTTTTCATTTTGGAAAATGTCCATTTTCCATTTTAGGAAACTTTTCATTTTGGAAACTTTTTCCAAAATGAGAAACTTTCATAATTGGAAACTTTTTGAATATCTTTGCTTCGATTTATAATGTGAATACTTAAACTTCTACGTGTGACTTAATAGGCTCCTAGATATATTGACAATGTATCAAGAATAAAAGACTCCTCTTTCATCTCTTAATATGTAAATCAAGATTGGCCTCTAGCAAGGCATCATGACTACCCAATTCTCTATGAGGATTAGTTAATCCATTATTACCTTTCACGAGCATGGTTACCATACAATTTGGTCCTCATCTCAACTTATCACGAGTGTGATCTCAAACTTGGTTATTAGTTTTATTTGATTATGATCACACAAGTTTTCTTCGATTCTCAAATATCTTAGCTCTTAGAGTAAACCAACTATGCTCTACTTGGTGTACCCCTACTGTGGCCATAGATTTCTTGAGTAGACATTTATCGAAGTGCGGTGTGACAACTCTTTTAGCATACAAGGAATGACATGTCCTATCTTAGCCATACACCTATCTCTATTGGATTTCTAGTACACCCAACGAATAGCCCACGTGCAACCTATTAATGGATCCATCGAAACGAGTGTCAAAGTGCATAAGTCCTCTAATGAGATAACCATGATGACTTCAAGTCTAAGGACTATTTGTACCCATCTCATATGAGATTCTCATATACTAAAACTAAATGGGTTCTCATGGCGAGTCAAGTCCGGTGATATGTTCTCTAGCATAAATCACCTAAGTGCTCGTTTTGGTATCATCATGCCAATAGGTGTGAGATCTCCTGTCGCTATCATATAGCATAAGCATAGCACTCACAAGTCTATCCACATATTGTCAATATCCATTCTTGATGATGCTATGACTTGAAACATTTAATAATATCATTTATGTGCATTAGTATTTATCTCATATCTTTCGATCAATCACTATTGCAAATGTATATCATAAGGACTTCTATCTAATTCTACTGAAATTATCAACTTGTAAACATAAGAATTAATAGAATGACTTCTCTGTTATTATTAAAATAAATGATGCAATAGCATATTAACATAAACCCATCTAAACATGATTGGATCTTAGGCACCAACACTAACATAATTATTTTACCAAATATCATAAGAAAGAAATTATGAGAAAGAACAAGAACTAATAAAGTTTAATGATAGATTTATATGATGAATTTTAATTACTTAAATTATATGATGTTTATGTTTAGGGTATTGAATCAAGGCAAGGTATCGACTCTTTGAGAAAGGTTTCGGTAAAAAATAGTTTTAAGTGAATAAAGTGTAACTCACATATACTATGGATGTAAATGATATGTGTTTATGTGAATGATGTGTTGTGATGGTCTTGAAGTGCATTCATATGCATATACAAGTTTTATGTATTGATTATAATGAAATAAAATATTTTAAGTAAATGAATGAGGTGATTATATAAATAATGTTTTATGACATAAAATATTTTGAATGCATGTTGAGGTTTTAATGTTAAAGGTAAAGGTTAATCGTTGAAGTTAACTATTGAAATTTAATGTTATGGCAATCTTGAGATTGTCTATTAATGCTTAAATGTTAAGGTTTAAAGGTTGAGACTTGACTATTAAAGGTTGAGATTAATGAGACTATGTTTTCATAGGTACTAGACTCTATTTGCCTAATAGCCATAATGAGGCAACTCACCCCACAAAGGGAAAGTAAAATTTAAGGGTTATGGTGCACTAGGTTAACATTTTCTAGTAGACCCAAATATGAAAAAAATAAAAATAAAAGACATTAATGCAATAAAAATTTTTAATGTAAAATCATACATATTGCACTTAATGGGATAGCCGTATCTCACACTTATTCCGTGATGTAATTACGGATACAAATGTTGAGGATGTTGATGCTTGCTCCATGTAACTAATGACTCATATGCTTGCCCTTGAATATCTCTAAAGGAGTGATGAATGTGTTATGTTTTGATTAATGAATATGAGATTATGCATGATTTTTTAAAATATATGAATGCTTTTATGATTATTAATTATAAGAATGTTAACTTTATGAATGTTGGATGATGATGAAGAATATTTTTTAGAATTTAATGATAATTGAAATAATGATAGTGAGATATAGTATGGATGAAATTTTAATGAAATGCTTCTACTATGTTAATGAGATGATCACACATGATTATATTATTTAATAGGTTTTAATTAATACATTTAATGATGAATGAGATTAATTAGGACTAAGATATAAGGATAACAAAAGAACATAAGTTTTAATAGCAAACCA